ACAAACACATCCAATTTAATCAAATCCTCAATTAGTGAATTCTTCTTCGCGTTCACCAGCTGGAAACTCTGGTGGAAAGTTCTGGTTGTTCGTCCACTTCTGGACTGTAGTCCTGTTCCAGAACCTAAGTGTTGCGTGTGCATCCGATTTACAGATCTGACTCATTTGTATGCAGACTGCTGGTTCCTTGCCTCTCAGGCAGATGCATTTCAACTTTGAAGGAAGTTCCCAATTAGTCTACTTACGACATGCTTTTGGGTAGGCAGTGGGTCTATTCTTGTTTTCCCCATAATAGGGCCCTGGAACCCTCACGGGAAAATTAGTGACTTTGAACAACATGCGTGTTTAGGAGTAGGTCACCCACCCACCCCCTCCCCCCACACACACACAAAGAACCCTACAACCTGCATAGGGAGTGATAGTAATAAGATGAATAAGAGAAATGGTGACGTTTTATTAATAGAAAAACATGAAAGAATAAAACCATCAAATTACTAAAAATGCTATAGAAAAGCATGAGAATCACAGCATGTGAGTTATTGAAATAAAGCTCCTCCTCTCAGTAGCTACAGAGCCTGGTATTGTTGTAGACTACGTGTTGCCCACGCAGCATGATGCCTTTCTTGGTTTGCCTTTTTTTTTTTAAACCAAAAGAAATGTGATACCAAAATGTTTGGTACAAGTGGTAAGGTAAAGTGAAAGTAAATTACCCACCATATTTTGATAGACAAAGTCACTTCCTGGTCCCCAATTTAGGCTGTCTGCCCCAGAAAATCTAGGTCAGTTTAACAAAGAAAGATGTATGCGTGGGTGGTAATGAGCAAAACAATGCAAATAGAATAAAAGCTAAAAGGAATTTTTCCAGGAAAGCTGACCCAGTGTAGATAACAACAAAAAATCTAGAATGTCAACTGAAAGCAAAACAGAGTGCAGATAATAACCTTTTTGAGTCGTGTGTGTGTGTGTGTGTAAGTGAGTGAGTGTGTGTGTGTGAGAGACAGACAGAGAGAGAGAGAGAGAGAGAGAGAGAGAGAGAGATAGATAGATAGAGAGAGAGAGAGAGAGAGAGAGAGACAGAGAGACAGAGAGAGAGAGAGAGAGTTAATTCTGTCTGTGAAAACTGATGAAATGCTATTAACCAAGGACAAAGAGAAGCGGGAGGCTTTCCTGAAGAGGTTCATTTTACAGACAGACCACAATGTTTGAGATAACAGAGATAGAGTTAGAGAACATCTGGCAGCCTACTTAAAGAACAAACATTATGAAGACATCAAACATGTGGAAGATGTAAAATATATTCTCACAAAAGCAAAAAACACTGCACCCGGGTCCGACAGAGTTAGATTTTCCCACATGAAAGACATGAGCGATGCAGACCTGGAGGAGATGACTGCTTGCTTCAACCAGAGCATTAGGACAGCTTCAGTCCCACAAGAGTGGATGCACAGCTACCTGGCAAGGATCATTCAACACTCGACGGCTTTAGGATCATAACCTTACAAAACACCTTTAGTAAAATGCTGAAGAAGATAGTGGCGGGTAAACTACAAGAATTTTTGAAACAGAGAAACCTCCATCCTTAAGGTTTGGAAAGTAACCAGCCAGCAAAGCACACATGGTCAAATGGAGTTTTTTTTGCCTCTGATACCTTTAAAGGTTTCCAGAACAGACAGGAAACAGTGGCAGCGGCACTTGATTTAGAAGACGCTTACAACGGTCAGATACAGTATCTTGATGAAAGCTCTTTTGGAAAAAGGAGTCTGTCCTTGGTTGGTGAATTGGATAGCAGCTGTTTTGTATACTCGTCGCGTAGCTCTCCGCTTGGGTTCATGGACCTCTGAACCATGTATTATAGCTCCAGGATTTCCACAGGGATTACAAATTTCACCCGTACTGTTCAACGTTTTTACGAGCAGGACTGTAGTCCTGGAAACACCTGGAGTTGGCAGAATATTGACATTTGCAGATGATATTCTCATATATAGGAAGGAAAAGATCAAAATCAAATAGCTCAAGAGTTACAGGCAACAGTAGATAAGGTGATCAACTGGTGTACAGACATGAGTGCTGTAATTAACCCAGAAAAGGCAACCTGTGGTGTTCTTTGGACAAAAGGATTGTTAGAGCTGATGTTCCAAGCCTCAAAATAAATGGCAGGGACATCAAAAGAGACAATAGACTGCAGTATCTGGGAATCACCTTTGACAGAAGTTTGTCTTTCAGGGTTCACATAGAAGGGGTTGTGACAAAGGCTCAAAAAGGTCTTAATGCACTAAAGATTATGGCAATAATACACATGGAGCAGAGAATGCTGTTCACACTTTACCAGCACTTAATCATCTCAGTGATTGATTATGGATTGGGGTTACTGTCTCGAAGAGTCAGCTAGAGATATGAAATCAACTTATTAAAAACACCATAAGAGACTAAGCAGCTATCTTTTGCCACATTATTAGAAGGGAGAAAGGTGGAACATTCTGAGACAGATGGAAAGAAAAAAACAGGGAAAGCATTATCTCAAATTGTTCCCCGTATGGGTTATGGGGCCGTGTCATAGGGAAAACAAGAATAGACCCACTGCTTATCCAAAAGCATGGCATAAGAGTCGACTAATTGGGAGCTTCCTTTGAAGTCAGAGTGCATCTGCCTGAGAGGCAAGGAAACAACAGTCTGCACACAAATGAGTCAGATCTGTCAAACGGATGCACATGCATCACTCAGATTTTGGAGCAGGACTGCAGTCCAGAAGTAGACAAACAACCAGAACTTTCCACCAGAGTTTATAGCTGGTGAACACAAGTAGAATCTCAGATAGTACAATGTGACTGTCTAGGAAAATCTCCTAAGCTCACATTAGCAATAAAAGGGAATTATGAAACATAACAAATCTAATAAAACATCAGAAGAAACTTTAAAAAAAATGGAACACAAGATATACTTTAACAGATGTAGAAGTATTACACAATGTCTGTAAACGATTTAGAAGGAAATGTAGTGTGAATGCCCGTTTTCTTTTCTATTTTTCTTTGTCATTAGTTTTTCCTTTCCAGGATTGCTTTTTAAAGAATTAACATCCCATGACTCAAAGAGTCACTCTCTGGATGAGAATGCAACATAAGCAAAGTCCAGAAACCCTGTCCTCCTATATTGGGCTACTAGATGGCTAGAAAGTAACCTACAGTTCAATTTGGTTGGGCTGTTCTGATAGTGAATTTTACACAATATTATATATAGATAAATTAACTCATTCCAATAATGGTTTGAAGCTACTTTGTATGTGTCTGAGAAGTTCTGGCTCATATAAGCACAATTAGTTTCACTAGATTTAGGGGACATTCCCATTTTTTTCAGCAGACTCATAAAATGAAATAACATTTCACTGTTCTACTTATCCAAATATAAACATGCCATCTTTGTTTACTCACTTTTAGACACATTGACGTTTTCTTTTCTTCATCATTTGGTTCAATGTGAAGAGCAAAATGTCATGTCATTAACATTTCTTTGTGTGGTGAGTGTGAAGCAGACAATAGGAATTTCATTGAAACATTTTTCAGATGGGGTTTACTTAATGTCACAACTTGTGATAAATGTGCATCTATTTTGAAAAAAAAAAAAAAAAAAAAGAGAATAACTTCTCTAAATTGCACATAAACCCTAATTTGTTGTAAACCACAAAAAAAAAAAAAAAAAAAAAAAAAAAAAAAAAATATGGACAATGATGAATAAAGACAAAAAATGTCTTCTTTTTTTTTCTGAGAATGAATAAGGCAAGGCATAATAATTGTAAAAGCTGGCGTAATTAAAATGTTTGTTCTTGGATGATAAATTTAAGCATCTTGCACAGACTCTCTCTCGTTGAGTTTCTAAATCTCTGCAGTGGGGTATGAACATTTATGTTTATGCTTTCCATGCACGAAGAAGCAATCCTCAGTTCCAGACATGAATATTTAGATGTCTAAATAGAATATTGGTTAGTTCACTTACTCGACAAGCTATGCGTCCAGGTTCAATGCTTTAGGATTCTGTTTATGAATCAGCCTGACTTTAGAGTTGACCCAGCATTATAGAATGAGTACCAAATACTTTCAAAAATTTCTGAGAAGGAAAGCTGTAACAGAAGGAAACTGGGCACATAACATAATTATGTTGTGGCCTAGAAAGTGTTCACATGACAAGTTGGCTCTTCACCATGGAACAGTCTTTGCTTTTTGAAAATTATTTGTTAATACCACAGGTGATGCACACGTGCCAAACCACAGGTGATGCACAAGTGCCAAACCACAGGTGATGCACAAGTGCCAAACCACAGGTGATGCACAAGTGACAAACCACAGGTGATGCACAAGTGACAAACCACAGGTGGTTGTGCAATAGGACCATGTCTCATACTAGTCAAAACATATCTATTATTCTCCACGGTCATCCTAGAAACAGGCTTCCAAGCAGGACCTTGGCCAGTGTAGACAGGATCATCGTTTCTTTAGAAGTTGGAGCACGAGAGGTGAGGAATCAATTTCTTCCACTGCCTAGTATTTTTTCCACACAAGGCTAATTTCTCTACTCCGTCTCTTCTGTTCTATGGTCCATTCATGATTTCCATATAATTTTAGATGAATAATTTTGTGGCTCCTGCAGCTCACAACACCTACAGATTTACTACACTCTTAATCCAAGACCTTCTCATCACTTTTTTCATCATACAAAAGAACAAAACCTTTTCATTAAATGTTTCTGTTTCTTATAAATAGATAGTGGATAAATATTTATCCATTGTGTTCTGGTCCCCCTCACCCCCCATATGTGGGGGATCAGACATGAAACATGGTCTCAGTCACATATGCACGGGGCCATCTGTATAGTGGAGGACTGTATGGTGAAGGATCAAACATAATGTGTAGTCTCAGACATATGGTGGGGGGATATGACATGAGATGTCTCAGTCAACTTTGGTGGGGGATAAAATCTGGGATGTTGTCTCAGTCAAGTATGGTGCGGGATCAAACTTGGGATGTGGTCTCAGTCAAATATGGTGGGGGCAGTCTGTATGGTGGAGGGTCGGACTGAGACTGCCAATAAGGTGGTGGATTTTTGGGATGTTGTTTTTCGGATCCCAGAGACCTGGTGGAGTTAAGGGTGCTACTTCTGGAACTTGCCTCTTCCTCAAGGTAATGATTATTTGGACGATCCCAGGTTAATGTGGAGGATGCACTGACTCCACCATCTTTAGCCTGCTCTTTTTGTTTCTTACTGCTCTTTCTTCGCTTCTGATCACTGTTTCTTTCATGGTCTTGCTCTGTTTCTATGTTGTCATTTGTGACACACTCTTGCTCTGCAGGGTCCTCATTTGATGTCTTTTCCTTGTCTGAACTAGTTTTTGACGGTGATAAGTCCTGATTAATAGGGTGTTGATCTGTGGGTAAGACAATAGGCATCCTTGCTTTAAGGGATGGGTCATCAACCTCAAGTTCATCAGGGAAAAATATTGGGTTGCGGTCATTGGACACAGCCTCTTTCTCAACACTGAGAGCTGCCTGTCGATGCCTGCGCCGCCGGTTGCAGAACACAATGATGAGGATAATGAGAACAAATACGAGAACAGCTATCATCACTGGCAGGATGACATGAGCCCAGACACTGAGACCATGAGCTGAGGACAGATATAAGAAGACACTTGCTATGACACACATCGTTATCATGTTTTATATATATATATATATATATATATATATATATAAATATATATATATATATATATATATATATATATATATATATATATATATATATATATATATATATATATATATATATATATATATATATATATAAAATGATCAGGTTTTGATACACATCAATATCAAGTTATGTTACACATTATTGTAGTGTTGCAATACACACGGTTATAATATGGCACATATATTTATGAACTTACCCTGTTGTGGAATTTATTTGTTGCACTGAGCAATCAATCAATTATTCCTCCATTCCATACCTTTATTTGATATGTTAATGAAAGTCAACCATTTATTGACTGTTGACTGCCTTAATATATGTGTGTGTCTGTTTGTGTGTGTGGTTGAGAGAGAGAGATAGAGACTGCAGAGAGAGGGGAGAGAGAGGGGGGAAAGACATAAACATACACATACAACTGGGGCACTCCATTTAGATGTATGGCAATACAGCAATGATACATAAGTACATCATTACTGCACTATAAACCCCATCATGAGAACCTGTCAGTTATATTGTTTAAGTGTTCTAGAGGTTAATGAAACTATTTCATAATGCAATGCTCAGTGCTTATCAGGATTCAATTCCCATGGTGAACGGTTTAGAAAAAGGCGGATCTCATAGCTTTCAGACAGTGATACGAGAGACTGGAATCTCATCTTAAAATATTTCTATAGCAAACAGTAGGTACATTGCAACAAACTTCTATCGTCGAGGCAGCTCAATACAAATTCAGATGTGTAGATTTTCCACCTCAACATACTACACTCTTCTAAATGTGAATGTCACCTGACGATAGATGTTGCTGTTACTGCTCTACTGTGTCTGCATTCTGTTTGTAGAGATACCTTGGAGTGGCTGCTGCATGAGCCGACTAAGCATCCACAGGAATGCCCAATGTGCAATGATGTCATTTATGATAACATAACAGCCATTCTTTTTCCTTGGATAAATTGACCCTTGTTAGTTTATGAAGAAGACTAATCCAGACATTCACCCTTGACCAATCACTTTCCTTACTTCTTCATCACAGTGTGATTACTTCCTCTCCTTGTGTTCCCTCAGTTACCCAGAGTAATGTGTTTCCACAGTTACCCAGAGTAATGTATTCCCTCAGTTACCCAGAGTAATGTGTTCCCTCAGTTACCCAGAGTAATGTGTTCCCTCAGTTACCCAGAGTAATGTATTCCCTCAGTTACCCAGAGTAATGTATTCCCTCAGTTACCCAGAGTAATGTGTTCCCTCAGTTACCCAGAGTAATGTGTTTCCACAGTTACCCAGAGTAATGTATTCCCACAGTTACCCAGAGTAATGTATTCCCTCAGTTACCCAGAGTAATGTGTTCCCTCAGTTACCCAGAGTAATGTGTTCCCTCAGTTACCCAGAGTAATGTATTCCCTCAGTTACCCAGAGTAATGTATTCCCTCAGTTACCCAGAGTAATGTCGAAGGCAGATACAAACATCTTCTGTGTGCTCTTTCTTTTGTCTGGTGTCAGTTGGTCTTCATGTCTCTAAGCTTGTCCTTGATGCCGTTACCACAGATTTGCTTGCTCATCTTTCCCTTGTTGCGTACCCTTTATAGTTTATCAATGCGGCTCTTTTGAATGGTTGATACCAAGGTATTCTTATCAGAGTTCCAAACCAGTTCATCTTTTTTTAATTGTAAAGTAATAAAATACATTTCACACCATTCACACATGTGGTATATGGTGCTAGAGAAATATTCTATTGACCAGTTGGCACTTAATGAATGAATGATGTGGTTAACTCAATCACCTGCCTTCACTTCCTAGATCATTTCCTGGCACCCACTGTGGGCTGGGTCAGTCAGGGAGCAAAGGTCATATTTTAATAATATGCCCTGATGTAGATTTGATCCTAAGATCTTCAGGTGGGCAGTTTGGTGTCTGGACACAGGACTACCGTAGCTACTTTACCATTATTCTTCGACCTCTTCAGCCTGTCAAGCGTTTGAGGTTTATTATTGCAGGTATCGTCCACCTCCATTCATTTCCTTGACTGGCTTTCTTAAGTTCTGCCTGTATATTTTCTGTCTGCAATCCATTTGTTCTTCCTCGTGGACTACACCTGTTTAACTCCTTTGTGTATGGAGTTTTTGTATTTGTTCTCTGCCATTCTCTCTATATGTCCAACCACTGCAGTCTATTAGCCCTCAGCAATTAGTGACAATTTAATCAGATTTTGAATTTTAGTTTTACTTCTCACTCAGCATTCTCTACTGTTTGCATCTTTGATGGGTCCATAGGTTCATTGCAAAAACCTCTCCTCAAAAGTATGTAACAAGACGTTGTCTCTTTTAGCTGTACTCCAGGTTTCAGAGCTTGACTGTTTCTTAACACCACCACCACCCCCCCCCCCCCCCCCCCCAAATACTTTTAATTAACAAACAACAGATGGAAACATTTACAAACCTGTACTGGTTTCTGAGATGGTTGTTGTTCTCATTGTGGTGGCTGTGGGTGGGATGTAACATGACTCTATTGATTCAAACAGAATTTCGGTCAAATTTGTATCACTTCCAACATGGCGATAGAATGGGGATTTGACTGTTCCATCACTGCGCACCATTTTGCTTAGCAAGTTCTTTATGACCTGGCAATATTGTAGGAAAGTTTAAATGAAGGGAGAAAATGGGAGAGTGATGAACATCAGCACCAATCCATCACTGAGTTATGTTAAACACAATAGACATACTAAGACTATCTTATTACTTGGTTCCGTTAAAAGCAAACCTGACTGTTCTTTTGGGGTTGCGGAAGACTATATAGTGTCACAAGGTAATGAAGATATTTACAGCCATGACCAGGATTCCACAAATAGCAAACACAGCAGCGGTCAAGTTTTCAGACAGGCTAGTTAATAAACAAGGTGTGATTTGGGTTAATGCCGAGTTTGAAAAGTGAGCTAAGCTTTATTGGGTACTGTGTGGGGTGTACATTATACTAATAGGTATTGAGAATACACATGCACACACTAGTTACACACATCCTTGCCCAATATACACACACAAATGTTGTATCTACATGTCGAGCTGTCCTTGACAATTAAATATCTGCATGTTGTGTAGTCCTATGAAAATTAAATATTTACAAGTTGTCCGGGAAAACTTTATTTTTAAATGTTGTGTTGTCTATGAAAAGTAAATATCTACACGTCCTATTGTTCGTAAAGATTAAAATATCTACATACTATATGCCTGTAGAGAGTTACTAGCGGACTAGCCTCTCGTAAGATACTATAATATCAGAAACTGGAACAATACAAGTCAGAAGAGAAGGTTTGGATATTTACAAAGACTTTTACTGATATAACTAAAGAGATATAGGCGATCCAGAGCGCAGCACAAGGCCAGCCCTATATGAAAACAGCCAAACGACAAGAAACCACAACAAACACAGAGCGACAGAATGCTGAAAGCACAATTCAAATCCAGATGAGAGAAAGACCAGAAATGTCACCATGAATATAGCGAACAGGGAAGAGAGCAGCAATGTTTTCTGTCCCTCAGCTGAAAGTGGTCACCGTTAAATGATTGACTGATTAATGTTTTGAAACGAGTATCAAATGCACACAGGCTGATTATTCCTTACAGAAGTTGCAATATGCATTGAACAGAGGAATTATCCTCAAAAGAAAGCGTCAAAAAGCTAGGTGGAATATTAGAGCTGACAAAGAGCTGTAAGCAACACTAAGGAAATAATGTGTGTTCATAAAGATTTACTGTTAATATTTTCTTCAAATTTTCTCTCGAGTTACTATACCTACCCATGTTGGAAAATAGTTGCTGAAGTTGCTGAACTAAAAATGTCTAGAGGATTTGAAATTTTGCAATAAAAAAATAGGGCATATCTGTAGGAAAGTTGAAATGAGAGATGCAGATGGGGGGCACTGAGATGAACATCAACAACAATTCATCACTGAGTGATATAACAGATGCCGCAACAGGAACATAGATTAGAATGCTAGTCAGACAATGCCACACGAGATACAGACAGGAGAACCCATTAATCTTTCCAGTAGATAAGGCGAGATGACTGAACACACAGTTGAGAGTATCCAGGTGACGGGTGTCAGGGACAACAAGTTGCAAAAGCTCTGAAGAGATGAGTTGAGTTGAGTCAAGAATTGACATCACAGCACTCAGGGCATTCCTGTCCTTCTTTTAAGCAGCCTGCACAGAGTTCTAATACTAATGGTACCGGTCGTTATGTGGTTATATGTCCATCTTGCCTTTCCCCTGAGTGTAGCCAGCCAGCCAGGAGTTCTTTGTCTGCAGCTACTCTGAGGTATGACTTAACCTGAAGCACCTTTAGCCTATCTGCAATAATCGCAATGCAAGGATGTATCACATTCACACAATCTGGGTGTCTCTTGTATGTGTTGAGAAGAAAAAAAGATAAAGAAAAAGCCCAGGAGGTCACAAAACAATGTCTGTGTAAATAAACTCATCGTCCTACTTAAATTGACATTTTTAAAAATAAACAAACTAAACTGCATTTGATTTGTTGGATCACTGGCCGTGTTGTTAAACCCAATAGACATACTAAGTTTTGTAGGCATTTCCTGCAATCACAGGAGGCTTCCATCAAATGCAGAGCCAATACAGGGTGCTCTAGTACTGGGCTCACCCAAGGAACTGTCACATCCTTAAGTAGTCACACGATTACTTAACCTCAGATTTGTATATTGAGCCTTTTATCACTACGAGCTGTGCTATTTAGGGATCACCAGGAAGCAGTCTGTGACCTGAGACTCCATATCCCGGACAAACAATCATCATTCTTTCTCAGTATGTTAGACTTCTCTCTTTGAAAACAGAACCTTTCACATAGATGACAATGGCACTCTTTTGCAGCATGCAATATGATGTATTGTCATTACGCTCTGACGAGTAT